CAGCCATCTCACCACCCGACCGCTGCCTTATGAGTGAGCCCAGGCTAGACCAGCAGCTTAGCCCAAACTGCTGACCCCCAGAATCATGAGCTAATAAATGACAGCTCCTTGAAGCCACAAAGTTTCAGGGGAGATGGTTGGGTAGCAACAAATAACTGATTCGGTTCCCAGCGCCCAACTGTGGAAGGAACTGAGCCCCAAACTTGAACGATGGCAAAGTGCCACTGGGATAACCTTAAAGGAGCTGAAGGACTTCTGGCTTAGTTCCTGATATCACCAAGCCTGGAAGTGAGGGGTAAGGGGAAGAAAGACCTGCATGGCGAGGACCCCATGGCCTGACAACAGAGATTTAGTGCACTTGTATCCAGTGGGGCTTAGAAAAGAGTGGGCTCACCTTGGCACTGCTCTGAGACTAATGGGTGGGCGTTGGAGATGGCATATTTTTCTCTCAAATATAAGGTCTTTCTAGTAATTAACATACTAGATTACTTTTAAAATCAGTAAATTATGCCTTAAAAACAGTAAACTATAACCATGCCATGTCTACAAGAGACAGGCTGTCTGCTTTGGAGGGAAACTCGACAGGATGATTTTTAAGACCTCATTTCAATTTGATTTTTCTTAAGTGGACTATTGTTATACTAGACTTTCGTTGGGAGGGTAAAAGACTCAATATCTTTGACAATGGGATTTGTTCTCTGGTAAAAGTATGCTTCTCACTAAAAAATGGTAAGAATTTCTAGAAACACGAAAAATGGAGTTAAAGGATCTGGGTTTCAACTCCACTTTATTAACCCCAACCTTGAAAAGGTCCATTCTGTGACTTAATGATGGTACTGATGAAGGATGATCAAACCAGTAAAAAGAACATATCTTTATTAGCTGACATGGAGTGTGTCACTCTGCACTGTCCCCGATCAGCTCACTCAATTCTAACCATGATCCTATGACAGCAGGTAAAGATATCACAAGCAATGATTCTTGGGGAGAAGCAGTTTGCTCAAGGACCCAGCGCTGGACAGGGATAGAATCCTGAGCGCCCCCCTTTCCGAAGGAGGTCTGGGGTGTTTCTCGACTTAGGTTCCCTAGTACAGCAGCGTGGCTGCAAATACAACCCTGAGGTTTTAGTCCTAGAACTGCCTGGTGCACTGTGTCTGGGTGATCTTCCCACGGTTCTGATGAAGAAACTCTGTTTCATTTTTGGAGGAACCTAAGAAGCTTTTGTTTTTCCCTTTCTGTTGTTTTTTATAAGTCACAGGGGCCATGAAAAGCCATGCGGATTAGGACGCACCTCCCTGCATCCTCAGTTGAGGGCAGCAGAGCAGGGCTCAGCTGGAGGTATGAAGGTCCCTCTCAGCCTCCTCTCTCTTTCTAGAGGAAACGAGGTGCGAGAGGGTGGGACAGGATCCTCACACCACTGTTTACTTTCCCTTGCATATCCTTCTGGCTGAAGCTCCCTGGCAAGTCAGCTAGATTCAGTCTCCAGGTATCTGCAAAGCCAGTGATGATCATTAACATGGGAGAGATACTCAGTGTGAGCCTTAGAGTCACCTTTTAGTTATAGATGTGACAATACCTTTATTTACGTAAGCATTCTGAGCTACTTCAAAGTCCCAAGTATGAACACTGCTTAAGCAACTTCCTTTTTCTGAACTGGAAGGGTAGGTCCGTCTTTTGGTAACCTGTTTTAAAATCAGCACAAGGTTGAAGTCTCTGGGAGAAAACTCTATCCTACTCTCAGGGAATATGATTCAGCAAATCTTGCTTTAGTGCTAACCCTGATGCAAGTGATCTTTGGATCACATTTTAAGAAACAGTATTTAAAAGGTAACACCTAATCTTGTGACATATTTCATTCCACTTTGTGTTCCTTCTGAACTTATCTTCCAAGTCTTTATCTATCTCTGACCTGAAGGTGAAGTTCCTAAGGTAAGTTCCTGAATCTCTCTGGGGAGGTTGTGATCCTCTCTCTAGGACTGGAGTGGCTCGACACCCAGGGCAGTGGCAGGGAAGCCAACAACTGTTCCCATCCGATCCCGTAATTAAGGGAGCCAGGCAGACTGCCCAAACCATCGGCACATTTCTCAATTGCTCTGCTCCAGTGTCATTAGCCAATTTCTACTCCATTTCCTTGGGCTGGAGTGAGCCAAGAAAAACAGTGAAGCACAACAGAGTGAAGCTGTGGGGAGGCAGCCAAATCCAGTGGAGGGAGTAGGAGGGTCACTTCACTACTCTTGCTCCAGGCCCAGATCCAGCGTGACAAAGCCATGCTACTTCTACAGCACCTTGCAAACTAGGGAAGAGATGCTTTCATCTGTGGTTCTGTGTCCTCTTCCAGAAGAGGAAACTAATGTTAAAGAACATGTGCTAAACGGGCACTTTTCCAGCCTCATGGCCATCAAGGCAGCTGACATCTCACTCAAAGTGACCTTGGGATCAAAACTGGCAAAGTCAAGCTGAAAGTACAAATGAAACTCTGCAGTGGATTGGAACTGACTCCGTTAAATGTTGTACATAACATTCTGTTGTTCGTTGAAGAAAAGGAGTTTACAGAAAGTGCGTATCTGTAGGGCAGAGAGGTAAAAGAATATATGAAAACATTCATTTGCATCTGATGGAATTGCTCTGGAAAGACCAGAAGACACTGATAACACTGGTTTTCCTCCAGCAGGCACTCTGGGGGAAAAGTGTGGGTGGGAAATGTTTCACTTGTTTTGGTGTGGGCGGTGGGTTGGTCCCTTCCGGCTTCAAACAACATGAAGATATTACTGAATCAAATATAGTTAATTTTTACACTAAAAATTTAATGTTTAGTCTTCACTTAGTATTTACTTAGCATATGTTCTCAAGAGCTAGGTGGGGAGGAGTGGAAACAGATAATCAAATAAATCATCACCTTGCTGAGAAGTGCACCCAGATCAATAACTTAGCACATGCTTAGCATGCATGATGTCCTGGGTTTAATCCCCAGTACCTCCATCAATCAATCAATCAATCAATCATTACCCTCTAGTGACAGATGTCAGCAACAGGGACTCAAGGAGAGGTCCCCTGGCCTGGCTGGGATGGAAAAGTGGAGAACCAGATAAGGTTTCCTCCAGTAGTTGTTTCTGGGCCAAGTTTTAAAGAGGGACACCAAGTAACTAGTACCAACTGCTGCAGGACTCCTAGAAGCCTTAACTGTGATGAGTGTCAGGTCACAGAAAAACATCAGGGCATCGCTTTGAACTGTTCTATACCAGTTCTTCGGATGTGGGGGGAAAAAAGTGCACAGCAATCTTAAAAAAGATGGAAAATACCAGAGACTATACCATATTCTGCCTCCTCGCCTCCACTTCGCTCTTCATTTACCGAAACACACCAAATAATCCCCACTGTGTAAGTTTGAGGAAAGGAACTAAAAGGGCTGACATTTAAAGTGCTTAGAAGAGCGCCGTGCTTAGAAAAGCGCCGTGCACAACGTGCTTTATAAACGATAAAGTCACACAGAGCCTAGTGGAGACTCGAAGCTTCACAAACATTCCCCCAGGGGAGAATTCCCAACAACCCTGGGCTACTGTGGGAGCCAGGCCTGTAGGAACTTGGATTTTCCCCATATGTTACTAAGATACTGGACGTAGCAGAAGCCGGAGCCAGACCCGCGCTTTGAAGGGCAGCACCGACTCCGCCCTCAGCCTGAGAGCAAGCGCCCTTCAGACCCCTCTGCCTCGGTTTCCTCATACCGAAACCACAGCAAGGCTTGAGCCTCCTTCAACTCGACTTGCTGGCGAGTCGATGTGCTGAGAAGGGACAACTCCAGGAGATTTGCTGAGAAGGGACAACAT